TACAGCAATGTGTTACTTAAAACTACTGCTTGTAAGACAGTTTGGCTGGAAAGTCAGAATTGCAACTCAGAGAAAACACAAGTACAAAGGCTGTTGAATAGAGGATGTTTTGATGGTTTTTGAGTAATTTCACCTTACTCCTCAGCAGTTAAAAGTGAAAAATGGCTGTCATAATCTGATTTAGCGCCTGTTATCCACACAATAAAGGCTTTCTGAAGAAAGCAAATCTATGAAATCTTGGTCAAACAATGATGTGCAAGCATAGTACTAAAATCGATTTGCAATTTTGTTCACTTTCACAATGTAGCACTGACGTATTCAAGGCTGAGGCTCAGACAGAGTGTGGGAATAATGTGAAACACGGCAGCACGGTTTGGCTGGTTCCCAATGTTTCCTTGTGTTATGTTTGCAGGTGGCTCAACAGGAGACACGGAGGAGGAAATGAGCCAGAAGCCAGAATAAAAAAATAAATCAGGAGGTTGACTAACAGATGAGAAACATAGATTCATGAATTATATTTGATAGATAGATAGGCAGGCAGGCAGGCAGGCAGGCAGGCAGGCAGGCAGGCAGGCAGGCAGGCAGGCAGGCAGGCAGGCAGGCAGACAGACAGACAGACAGACAGACAGACAGACAGACAGACAGACAGACAGACAGACAGACAGACAGACAGACAGACAGACAGACAGACAGACAGACAGATAGATAGATAGATAGATAGATAGATAGATAGATAGATAGATAGTGTGAGAAAGATACAGTTTAAAGATTAAAGGGATAGTTCACCCAAAAATTTTAATTCTGTTGTCATTTACTTCTGCTGTTCCAGTACTAAATACATTTCTTTGTTCTGCTGAACTCTTTAGGATCCAGAGATCTATTTGTTACTGACATTCTTCCAAATATATTCCTTTGTGTTTAGTAGAACAAATAAATGTATACATTAACCAAGACACAAGCAAACAATGACAATTTTCATTTTTAGGGGAACTATGTCTTTAATTGATATGACAGCAAAATGTCTATCTCAGATGTCTGTTTGGCAGAACTAATCTATCAGCTTTGAATATCTGAGCTGATTTATACAGCAGTGCAGATGTTAATCTCATAACATCGCTTCCTCTTTAGCCTCCTTTGCACCTCCCTTGAAGAACTGGCAGTTTTTAAGAGGACTTGTTCACCTATAGGACTTAAGCCAGCAAGCCAGATGGTGCACCCTTTCTGCTCTCCTTAAATGACTGTTTCTGCAATTCTGGGGCAAGTGGGGGAAAGACTCCACTTACTGAACCGTTTCCCACAGCTCATCTTCCACAGATGTCTGACCTTTGGGTCAAATTTAAAGATCGTGAGTGGACAGAAAGCCCCATGCAAACATCTGCACAAATGCAGCACAATGACACTTCAACAGGATGGCTGGTCGACCTGGAAAAGATATCATGGTGGAGATCTGCATCACAGTTCTCCACCATCAGCTTGAATCACAGTGACATTAATGACCCATTTTTATTAGGAAAGTTTTTTTTCAGGCTATTTTAATTGCTCTTTAAAAGCAGAGTATTGAGTTTGTGTCCTTATTTGGGGTAAAAACAGGCCGTTTTAATTTGCCTGTTGGTTAATTTCTGCTATGTCCTTTATAGTCACGCTTTGAAAGACGCTTGCCCAAACATGATGCCTTTTCCCTTTAGAAACTGTAAACAAAAGACGATTCAGATATATGCAATTGTGTAATTTGTGATGCGTGATAAGACATTGTAGACATTTTGTTTTTGCAGTAGTTTTTCCCCTCTGGCTGTTTTTGTTTCAGATTTTACAAGATTTTTGAGTAATATATTGTTTCTACACGTCTCCCGCATTAAACGGGTGTCAGCTTTCAGGTTACAGAATGTCCCTCCGGGCTTCATGGCTCTCCAGAGTTATAATTTTGGTTTAAGATAATCACAGAGTATTCTTCTTGTTGCGCAAAGCTTTCATGGAAATCTTTCCATTCGGTACCTCAGCCGAGCTGCTCGAAACCTTAAAAGAAGAATTGTGTGCTTCAAGAAAATTAGTTGTGGTTTTTTCCATCTTTGAAGTCTTGAAAGATTCACATGCATAACTTGAGGACAAAATGTTACGGTTGTCCTTGTGGAACTTTAGATGAGTGGCATGTGCAAATGTTTGCATGGTCGTATTTGCAAGCAGACTAAATTATAAACCAGAGATGCAGCCACATATGAGATGACTCTTGAAGCAATATGTTTGACCGTGTGGATTCAGTATAGATCTCACAGATGTCTGTTTGTTGCAGTATTTTCATTTCCTTATGCTAGAAGGAAAATCCAACAGGATATGACTTCTTTAGATGACTGTGGCCGAGATGGGAGCTTCTTCCTGGTGGAATAGCAGCACTGTGGTTTGAGGCTTTTCTCTCCGTATATCTGTCAGTTCCAGGCTGCTGCTTTTTCTTTTCTCCAGAGAGTTCCGGTCTATGGTCTCTGGCAGACAGACATTGATAATTACTTCCATCCTCGGGCCAAAGCAGCAATGTCCAGTGAAGAGCAAATATCCTATACATCAGCTCGCTCATAATAGTCTATAGAGAGTTTGTTCTTTACTCTCATGTGTTTTTGATTCTAATCTCCCATCCTGTCTTTTTCCATGTTGGTGCAGACAGAGATTGCTTTTTCAGTCGTTGTCTACAAATTCCCAAAGTATTTCATACTTAAATACCTACAGCCTGAGAAATACAGTGAAAGTTTACTATTAAATGTATTTGGATGGATTTACATGCTGACACTACTAATAAGTTTTTTTTTTCCTCTCTTCTTGATAAGCTAGTGGTTACATAATATCATGGGTTTTAAATTGAGAATGACCTTCTCTAAAGCACTGCAATGAGCAAAAAGCTTACAGGGACAAAAGTGAAGATCTATTGCCCCCTCCTGGAAGTGTTCAGCAGGAACCAGAAAAATACTTAAGACATAAGCACAGCCAGGATTTAAATCCATCATCTTCCAAGAATGCATTTATCAACATCTTGTTGCAACATGTAGTTTAAACCTAGTTATTACTTTAAATGAGACATAGAAGAGCTGTTGTGGGTCATTAGTCACGCTAGTGCCTTTTATAATATCAGCTTTTGGTTAATTTACTGGTTAAGTAAAACCACTTTAAAAAATAAAACTTAGTAGCATTAATGAAAACATTGCATTTTATATCTTAATAGACAAACATGGCATTAATTAATTAAAAGAAAATTCATTTAATTTTGAAAAAACATTTATTTATTTATTTTTTTACATTTGACAACGGACAGCAATATATTAAATTTGCAATGCACTGTCACTTTGTATGTAGGTACTAATATGTAGCAGCTGAGGTGCCAACCAACAGGGATCCTTTAGATAAAAACACACCTTTTGAAATGGCTTAAGTGGAAGCTATCAGTTTTCTTTAACAAATTTATGCACATCATCTACAAAGTGTTTATAAAAAAAAAGGAAAATAAAAGGATATGGCATGCTTTTAAGGTTAAGTTAAAGTGATGGTTCACCTATAAGTGAAAAATTACTCACCATTTACTTCCAAATCTTTATTTATTATTTTTCTATTTATTATTGTATTCAGTTGACCACAAATGACAATATTTTGATGAAAGCCAGTACCCACTGACTTCCGTAGTAGGAAAAACAAATGCTAAGGGAATCAATGTCTCCTTTCATCAATTTATTTTGGGTTCAACAGAAGTCACAAGTTTTTAAACAAGTGAAGAGTGAGTAAATAACTTTTAGTTTTAGGTGATTTCCCAATACTAGGTTGTGACTGGAAGCGCATCCCCTGCATAAAAAACATACACCAGTGTAGTTGGTGGTTCATTCCACTGTGGCAAGCCTTAATAAATCAGGGACTAAGCCAAACGATGAGTGAGTGAATTATTTCTTTAATGTATTAATTTAGGGTGGTGTGGTGTCACAATGGGTTGCATTGTCGCCTCACAGCAAGAAAGTCACTGGTTCGAGCCCTGGCTGGGTCAGTTGGCATTTCTGTGTGGAGTTTGCATGTTCACTTCGTGTTCGCGTGGGTTTCCTCCAGGAACTCTGGTTTTCACACAGTCCAAAGACATGTGGTGTAGGTGAATTGAGTAGGCTAAATTGTAAGTGAATAAGTGTTTTCCAGTGATGGGATAAAGCTGGAAGAGCATCCTCTGTGTAAAACATATGCTGGATAATTTGGCGGTTAATTCCACTGTGGCAACCCCCGATTAAAAAGGGACTAAGCCGAAAAGAAAATGAATGCAATAACTCATACTATAAGCTCACATAAAACTGAATATACTTACGATTACCCGTGATTAACTTATGTCTTTAACAGAAAGAGTTTCTAAACTTCGCATCAATCTCTTATATTTACACTACATATTGGGACATATGATAGGGAAATTTGAGCAGATTGCAAATATTAGTGTGCTAACTACACAGGCGCAGCGCTAATGACACTGGTTAAAAGGTATCTTTTCCATGTTAAAAGGAGTTGTCCTTACCATCTGAGATGGTGTCAGGCAAACTTTCCATTTCCTCTTTGTGACAGCAGAACAACAGCATATACATCCAAAACGATGATCACCTCAGGTACAGATTATGTGCTTTTTAGTCTTAAATGCTACCAAATGTGAGTTTAAAATAAATACCATTTATTGACATACTACTGAACTAGCAAACTAAGTATTGCAAATGTGGGATTTAAAATGTTTTGTGCAGACAGCCAAATTGCTTCTCACTGGAATCTTGTCACATTACGTGTTGTTATGACACGGTGTATGAATAAATAACCTCCAATGGCTGCTGACAGGATGTGAAGAAAGACTGGTTCCTATTTTTGTTTTGTTTTGTTTTTTTAAAGATTCACACTATTTACTAGCACATTCAAAAGAACTGCATAGAAGTATAAAAAGAGAGTATTTTATTAAAAAAAAACATTTAAAAAAGACAAATTCTACACATTATTGACAGTTCTGGGAACAGGTCTCGGACTATACGGATGGCTTACTCAGAGGTTTGTATCTTCTCACTGGACGAGCTCTAAAACTTGAACACTGAAAAAAATAAGTCAAAATTAGACTTGTACGAGTTAGATTCTGATTAACAGACAGTTCAATGGAAAAGACACTTACCCAAACTTGTTCTTGTATCTGGCGCATTTCTTTCAGTTTCCTCTCACGCTCAACTTTTCTTGCTGCATCACGTGCATCAAAAGAGAAAGGCTTAAAACAAGTTGATCTTTGCAGCCTTGCATGTTCATGCCTTCAGATGAGGTAAAAAAAATGATTTATATAAATATACATATTTTATAAACAGTTGAATGTGTAATTAAACTTTTTACCATAAAAAGTCAATAGAGGTTTCTTACAATCTGACTGCATGAGCAGCGGATGTTGATCCAGATCGACCATCTGCAATGACTGCCAAAAGTGAAAAGCACATCAGATTGCCCTGGTGCAAATTTGCAAACTATCAACCATCGCAGTTAAAAAGATCAAATTGAGGTAAATGTAAACCAATTTGCTACTTATGGAATGCTGCAGTATAACACTACTAAGTAATTTAACAATTAATATAATGGAAATCTGTGCTGACTGCCCTGATATACAATGAAAATATTAGAAAAGTATGGATAAACCTACACAGTTGTACTGTAACATAGAATACAGAAATATGCAATACAAATATGAGCATCAACACAAACAAATTTGATTGTTCATTTGTACCACAAGTCTACCACTGGAGGGCCTCAGCAAACTTCCAAGGTCGAGCCTGGAAGGAGACCCGTCTTGTAGATTTATTATTGAGAACATAGTCCAGTTTTTGGAAAATTTGAATACATGAAGACGCCTCATTTTAAAAGCGTGTTCTCTTGATCTGGTCATTTTTAAGGAACTTGTTTTATTTTCTTGGTTGCACCAAACTGTAAATCTTATGTACAAAAAAAAAAAAATGATAAAAAAATCTACTAATAAAATAAAAACTTGACTTTAATGCAGAAAGAGTTCAGTACAGCATGTGCAAGTGCAATCAACTCTTACCAGTTTCACAGCTGTCGTGTTTTTGCAGGGGGGAAACGACTGCCACAGCGTACTTGCGCTTAGGGGATAATGTTAAAGGTGATTTGCGTTTAAATACGCTTATGTAATTCTTATCCGTTTCCGAAGGCATATCTGTGAAAGAAACTGTCAAAAAACAAAACAAAATAGTGAACATCTGATTTGACGTGCACGCGCTGGCCTCATTGTGAGAAAGTTGCTATGGAGACTGGGTCGCGCGCTACAAAACAATGACTGAAACTGCAGAGATTTAAACGGGTGAACAACTTATAAAAAGGCCACGGTAAGTTTCTGAGAACATGACAATAACACCAAAAATAAATAAAGAAATAACGTGGTTTTTTCAGCTAGTTGTATGATTACGGGGTCCACGGTGAATTTATGGAAACTGAAATACATAGCAGCTGTTCAGTGTTATTAAAATGTATGAATTATGTTTAAAATACTTGAAACCTAACGGTAACGTTACCTGAATGATTGTGTTTGACGTCGGTTTGTGTATTGTTACGGTGAGCCATAAAAACGGTCGAATACTATTGTGTCGACGCGGGTGTAAAGTTTTTTTGGTCAGCTGATTTTACTGCAATAAAGCTTGCGCCTATATCTGCTGCAAATTGATGTTAATTATCTGCAGCTGCAGTGTGACCTGCCACAAACGCTCTTTAAATCCATTTAGTTGGGATCAAAGACTGTTTGTGCAATTGGACAATATAATTAATTTATTTAGCTTAAAATACCTTCTGTCTTTAAGTACATTTGTTTATGTTTGTGCAGGTCATGATGAGGCAGGCACAGCAGCGGAGCTCTTCGCCGTCACATGATGACCAGCAAGAGTCCAGCGAGAGAGCAACGCCCATTTCTGCCCTCGCTCCAGAGGTTGATTTAAATCAAGAACAACCTGCGGTCCTGTCATTAAATCCAGCCTTGCAGTGCTTGGAACAGGTAAAATCTCATTGTTGCAATAATAAAAAACAACATAAAGCAAAATAAAAGGTAAAAAAAATAAAATAAATGAATTTCCTCTACAGATATTAAATTCACTGTGGAGATAAAACTTGAACTCATTGAATCAAAACACTGATTCCTCTTGCTTTTAAATATACCATGACACTGATCTACTTTTTACTCTAAATACTGTGGCTTAAAAAATTGAAAGTACAGTGCTAATGAACATGAAACATACTTTTAATTATGACAAGCTCTCACCAAACATTTTTTTTTTTTGTAATGTAGATGACTAATACTAAAAGGTTTGTTAATTATTGTTACATACATTTAACTGCCCCAATGTCTGCCAAGATTTTAGTAACAAAAAGATCTAGAATTTCAGTTTAATGTTAACATATTTTCTGAATGAATGTTGGACTATGTGAGATAAATCAACAGCTTTGAGTCAACTACAGTATGTACTTTTTAAAGTTTAATTTGCTTCATAGAAATACAAATAAATCTTTAAAATCACAAATTAATGTGTTTAATATACATTCTCCAATATACATATATTCTAAAAAAGTAAGCTTATAACAATTTTTAAAAACCCTGAAATGCATTCATTTCAGCCTCAGGAGGGGGTTGGGGCACATTTATCACAATCTGCTTAACCACATAGCAATACCTAAAAAATAAAAATCTTTAAAAACCATCCCATACTGTCAAAATAAATAATGTACATTTTGTACTTGAATATCACAGATATATATTTTCTTTTTAACAACCTCATTTTGTCATTTTCTGTCCCTTCAGCTTATTTGTAAAAAAATACAGCTAAAAAATAATGTTGATGACAAAGTAATTTGCATAAAATATTTTTTGTTAAATATATCCCCTCTCTTTCCCTAATTCCATCAGTAATCATTGACAAATTGGATGTAAATCATAGTAGCTATTATTCAATTTGTTCTACCAATAATTGTATCCACAAAAAACAAGCAAACAAATAAACTTTCAGTCGTCCATGGTGTAGAACAGTGGTTCTCAAACTGTGGTACGTGTACCACTAGTAGTACGCAGGCTTCCTTATAGTGGTACGGAGGAGGAATGAAATATGTCATGTACATGCTACACACATTTCAAAATTTACCAAAAATGATGTATATAATATGATATATATGACAAATAGCCTACATTTCTGAGGTAATCTGCCACGTTTTTTTTAACCGTGCAGAGTTGTAGCTGCTTTACCTGGCCTACTACGCTACTGTATTTCAATACTGCTAATTTTGGTGGTACTTGGAGAGACAAATTGTTTCTGAGGTGGTACTTGATGAAAAAAATTTGAGAACCACTGGTGTAGAAAAGCAGTTAAACACAAGGTGGCAGTAGGACACACAGATAAAAGAAATCATACAATCAACCAAATTGTTGGTATATTTAAAATATAAGCTGGACATTATTTCTTTGTACCTTGTGATGTTTAAAATACAGGTTTATATTTTTAAGGCAGTTCTGTTAATGTCTGTGGATTTGCATCACAATTTGGTCTTGAGGAAAAGTTCCCCCAAAAAATAATTAATTATTATTATTGTGAGTTGCCTTAGGGTGCATAGTTCTTCGGCCTTATCATCATTTTAACATTTTTATAAGCTTGCCTGAAGCTTGTCGGATAGTACTCAGAAGTCGCATTGGGCCACGTTCCCCAAAAAATCCCATCCCTTTTCCCTTTGTACTTTGTTTTGTAGTATTTGCCATTAAGGTTTGCTGACATGCAGGCATCAAACCACCATCCCGAACCATAATACGCCCCACAGTTGCCTGAGGGGTATCTGTCGTTATCTTTATCCGGCGTAGTGAAGAACTTCTGATCATGGTTGAAGTGTTTGCTAAACTGCAAAGCGTTTCCAGCTGTCCCCGAATACCCGCTCACAGACAGCCGATAATGAAGGAACTCATTGGACACATAGAACTGATCATATTTGGCATATCCACGTGTGCCCTCTGAGTCTTCCAGCTCAATGCGTAGGATCATGTCCTTGGCTTTGGTGAGCAGGTGGATTTTATCATTACCAAGCCAGAATTCACTGTTAAGGTTCCCGAAGCCCTTCTTGTAGTCAGCCCAGGTGCGGTTGAAGCTCACGCTGCCGTTTATTCGATGTTGTATGACGGTCCACCCACCTCCAAATGACTCCATGTCACAGTAAACCGCAAAGCTGCCATTCCTGGGATCAGGAGTCACCTGGTACACCTTGTTTATCCTTTGCCCCAGCATGCTGATGTCTGAGCAGTCTCTTGGAGGGATGTTTGTGAGGTCTGTGTAGAGAGAGATGACCTTTAAGCATGCTTTATCATTTCATACATTTAAAAAGTTTTGCAATATTACAATGTATAACAATTTTTTTTAAATATAGAGTATGTTTTATGTTTCAATAACTATGTATAATTTGGTTTAGTGGGGCTTATTGCATTCCTTTAATCATCATGTGATTCTGTGGTCAGGGTTCATCGCCTCTGCAGGTTTGAATTTTTGAAATGCAAACACTGACATCATTTGTTTTCATTCCACATTTGATTTTGGGAAATTAAAGTCAGAAGATTTCAGCGATGACCCGCATAACTATTCCTGTTGTTGAGTTCACTCATCTGAGAGGAAACTGTTTGGATTCGTAGCTATAAAAAAATTACTTTACGTTTGTAAATGGTCTAAAGATTTAGTAAGTATTCGGTCATTAAGTTCAATAGTTGTTTATTATTTTAAAAATGTAGGGTGCACGGGCATTTATAATGCTATTTTTTTTCAGCTTTTAAGCGTTTTATTAATCAAAGAATCACAAAAAATATTTTTTTACTAAAATATTAAGCTACATAACATTTTTAACCTTGAAAATAATACTTATGTTATTTTAAACTTCAAATTAGCATATTAGAAAATTTTCTGAAAAATTATGTAAATCTGATGACTAATAACTTTTTTACATTTGAAATTTAAATAAAAAATATTTTATTCTTTACCAAAAAAAAACAAAAACATAAAAGACTGCTTTAGAATCGAAGACTTACGTTGAAGTTGTAGTTGTTGACCAGGACATGAAGTGCAGGTGCTGCTGATTTTATTGACCATCCCAGTGATGTTCTCAACTTTTCTGTCCACTATATTCTCTACGTTTTGCAGATTGAGGAGGTTAAGCTCCTCTAGGCGGCCCTGAAGGGAGTTAATCTGTGCACGTGCATTTTTCAGGCTGCTAGACATGCGGTTCATCTTCACCTGCATGTTTTGTACAATGTCATTATCACTGTCGTTCCCATTATGAATAACTCTCATGCTGGTTTGACCTCGACTCTGCTCTCCCTCTGTTGGAGGGTCACCACTGTCCTTCTGCAAGTTGAGGTCCACTTGTTTCAAGCTGCACTCCAGACAGGAGCTCTTCAACCTGTTTACTGTCTCCTTCAAGCTTTGCAGTTCCTTCACGGTCTTCTCTAGTAGTCGGAATTGTTTGGGAAGCTGGATAGTCAGCGGTGGCATTGTGATCTGATATGGGCACTCCTCCTCATCCTCACACTTCCCAGCTGGCCTCAGTCTTACCTGGGAGCAGCTGGAAGCTCCAGGTGCCCTGTCCACAACCCCAGACGGGCCACTGCCAGAAGCCTCTACCTCCTGCCAGATGGCTATCAGCAGAGAACAGCACACATACACCAGTTTCATGATCTCAGAGTCTACAGTGATCCAAACAGAAAGAGAGAACAGGAGGGAACTGCCTCAAAGTGCAACAGCTTTGCCATTAATATCACTAGAGAGAGAGAGAGAGAGAGTGGGTGGGGCAGCAGTGCATTGCATAATTGCGTAGTCGACAACGCAGTAAGAATTCCATAGAATATGGGACCACTGACCATTTTTATTAAAACACAGCACAATGACTAAATATGTAGGAATGATGGTTTTGTTTGTTTTAAACTTACAGTAAATAAAGGAATGTGTTAGCAAGATAAACCAGATGGGCAGTATAGTGCTGTGAATGACAATATGCTGTTAATTTTCAGGTCATCTAAAAAATACCTTATACTCTCACTGGCCACTTTATAAGGGAACACCTTACGAGTACCTGGTTGGATCGTCTTTTAGCTTCAGAATTGCCTTAATGCTTCGTGGCATTGATTCAACAAGGTACTGGAAATATTCCTTTGGCATTAAAAGCCAAGTTGATCCGCAGTTTCTGAAACACTCCAGCCCGTCTGGCACCAACAAACATGTCACGTTCAAAGTCACTGAAGTCACCTTTCTTCACTATTCTAATGCTCACTTTGAACTGAAGCATCATAAATCGTCTTGACCATGTTTTCAAACTTCACGATTGACATTGTGCTCGATTATCCACTTCAGACATTTTGTTTGTTGTAACTTTGCAACTACATGACAACTAACTCTTATTAGAATATTATGGAAGATTGTTTTAATTGTTTGAAAAAGGTCAGCAAATAATGAAAAAATGTTAACTTTTAGGTTAACTTGCTCTTTACAATGTAAAAGTCATATTTCTTTTTAGTTTATTCCTGTAAGTGCTGTGGTGTTTTGAAAAAACTGTCATCATTAATTTATTGCAGTCATGTGTTTACATTATGGATTGCTAATGTGTTTGTTTTGGCATAGAATTTTGTGTCGTCACAGAGCTGTTTTTTTTACTGTAGTATTGGCCGTAAAACAAACAAGCTTTGTTTGGGACTGTTGTAAAAGAGAAACTGTAGTGTTTATTTAATCTGGTGCAGATGTACTCAGACATCTGCCAGAAATAGCTTCACCATTTCTTTTACTTCTTCTTACTTCTCTTAGGCCTACGTCTTTTATTTATGCATTGAATTGGTTCTGCAGTTCTTTTTTAAAGTTTTACTCTAATCTTAACAATAATCTGTATTATTATTTTACCTTTCCCTATGGTATCAGCATACATAGATGAACTGTCTATTGTAAAATTGTGCTCCAGTGTCTAACTTCAAAGCTGATTCTCCACATGTGTGCCTCATGATTTCTCATAAACTTCACAGTAACTGTTTAGACTCCTGCTATGGCTCTGTGCCGGAAGTCTCAAAAATAAAAATGCTATAAAATAGGAACTGATAACGCACATGTTGCTTATCAAGATAAATGTTCAGCAAAAGTCAAAAACACAGCTGCATAACTTTTGAGTAAATTTTAGTATAACATTATCATTGCAAGATTTGTTGCAAAATGATCATAAATGTCATGTTCACATTATTTAAGGTGAAATTAATTCTACAATTTTAATATTAGTCAATTTATGTGTGTTAAATCAGGCCTACATCATAGCAATTAATACTAATATGAAGGATTTTCAACAACAGAGCCTAGGCCTCTGGGAAGTATTTTTAAATCTGTTTTACTACATATCTTAACAGTAAAGCACTTAAACATTTTGTTTAGATTTAAAGGAGAAAAACACATATTGAGACTTTGTGCTGATAATCAGATATGCGTATACTGTATAGAAAGCTTGAGTGGTCAGATAAACACACTCAAAGCTTGGATACATTCATTTTCATGGTGGAGATCTGATGCATGGCACATATATTGATCCGCTCTTAAGAGACATCTTCAAACGAGTCCAGACAACATATATCTGTTTAAAATGCATTTAGGCAAATGTTTATTGGACTGTTTGATTGTTGATCAATCTTTTTTCATCTTTGTCCTACAGCTCTTCTCCACTGGAAAGATCAGCGTGGAAAAAGTGGCTCGTCTTAAAGCCAGTTTCAACCTCTTAAATGAAACTCTGAGAAGTTCTCAGGACTCTGAAATGCAATTGCTCCTGGAGGCGAAGACCTTGCGCATGACATTAGAGCAGCAAAGGCAGGAGCTGGAGAATGCTGAACTTTTTCCTGAGGGACCAGACACAGAGGTCAGCAGACTGAAGCAGACACTCCTGCAGTACTACAACCAACTGAAGGAGGACGAAGAAAGAGATTATCAGATGCAATTTCAGCTTGAGTGGTGAGATGCTCTGCAAGATCACATCATGCAGCTCATTTTCGCAACATCTAATGCAGTCCATAAACCAGCGCAAATTTAGGTTGCAAAAAAGCAGAGCCGATTATAATCAGGTGCATACATTCTACCATCAACAGATGTGCAAAGGGAAAGGGAAACTCCTACAAATTCATATGCAAAAAAAACAAAAAAAAACAAAACACAAATGTTTCACTTCATGTCTTTAGTAAATCCTGACAGTAGTTTTCACAGTGGTGCAAGCTGTTAGTAATGTCCTAAAATTTAATCCTAACCATCAGATTATGCTAACAACACTTGATTTGAATGTTTCCAAGGTTGTGGTTAGGGTTTGGGGTAGGCTAGGACAATATTACATCCTCTATTACACCACTCTATATGAAAACTTCCCAATTTAACATCATAATTCGACATCAAGATATGCTACCTACTTTTTGAATTTAAGGTAGGACAAGTTGACAGAACACCGGCCCTTACTCTGAGTGTGGGGCATTTAGTTTCCTCTCACTAAAGGTTATTGACTTTAAGTGACTTAATCTGCATTCCTTCTAACACTCACCTTCTTGTGTTTAACATTTTTTCTCGCCTCCAAAATTCAGCAGGGAAAGAACACTATGCTGAATCATGACTTACAAGGTTGGTCGTGAAGGTTCCTCACATAACTGATTCAAAATGATTTAATCACGTATAAAAAAATAAAGAGAGCTTTGGTGATAACTAACCAAATATTTGCTTACCACAATAATAACCTTTTGCTAGAAATGGTATCAAAAATGGAAAAAGCTAGAGAAAATTGTACAGCACCGTACATTTACACTTAAAATGACACCTAAGCGTAGCTTCCAGGCACCATCTTTATATTTAAGCTCAGCTGCCAGAAATGAAACATACAGGATTGTGTGGTATCAAAAGCAGCAAAGGATACATCTGCGCTGCCTTAAAAAAATTGATCAGATGAAAGAATCTAAAGAGACAGGAAGTAAAGATTAGGTTTGGTCGAGCTTTGATGTCCTCCTACCTTGGAATGCATCCTTTGAAGCAGGATTTTCTCGATTTCGGATGCAACCTAATAATGTGTCTTGTAATATTTTGCTATGAAAATCTAATACATTAGTGGTGAGGCGGCACCACAAATAAGTTATTAAAGTTCCCCTTTTATGCCTTTTCCAATATTACTTATTATGTTGTGTGTCTCAATGTTTTGTGCCAGTAAAAGATTTTTAAAATATACATAATTCTAGCATGTTGTTATTAAAGACTGCAGGTCAACAATGTCTGTTTTGACCCTCAAACACTGTAGTTCAGTTGGTATTGTCATGTATGTCAAGAAGATACTGTTATCTGTGTTATACTGTGTTTGAAAGTCAAACAATGATCTGTAACAATAACTACGAAAAACAATTTTAAAATCACAATGAATTGTAGAATCACATTCATGTCCAATGTAAATTTTTAAAAGCTAATTAATGATAGAACATAAACAGCGGACCCTACCTTAAAGAGCTTGAACATTTAAAAAGGAAGATAATAAAAGATGCATGGTGCTTTTCATAAACACACCAATAATGAACATTTATGTGAATGTTAATATAGTTATAGTTAATGCACTTGTTGTAAAAGGGCCTTAGGAACCTCTGTACTAGAGAGTACAGTATACAATATGCAATACGATATATGTATTTTATGCATGTCAGTTAGTCAAGTATTCCTACTGCAGGCATATTACTGCCAGATGTCTTTTCTGCACATGTGGATATTTTGTCCTGAGTGAATCCTTCATCCCTATCCAAACCAGCATGGATACACATTGCACAGCATGCTTTCGCTCACTGTAATAATCTACTACTTTGATGGGATGGTCCAGCTTTCAATGATAGCAGTATTAGCATTCAGCTAGAATATTTATACATGTGGTTTTCACACAGCTTGTTATTGCACAGCTTTGTCATCTAAAATGTTTAATAGCAGGCACAACATTTATAAATGTGAAATGTCCTGTGTGCTTAAACGCTTCTCTAATTGTATAATTTGCATTTATTTGTTCCTTTTTATTTGAATTGGTTTACATCCTGATTTCTGCGAATGCAAGGATGTTTTTTTTTTACAGAATTTCATTTCTGCTTTTTAGTCTTAAAGAGGAAAAGCTCTATCTTGAGAAAGAATACCAGGATCAACCTAAACAGGCTGTAAGTATAGCTAGGGCATGTGACGTCTCCAGATAAATACATCATTGGGTTTTCCGATACACTGTAAAAATGCTTGGAACCACACAATTTCTTCATGGTCTCTGAACACATATTGATTGTTAACTTAAATGTTTTTAAAAAAAAATTTAAAAGTGGGTTGACCACAAAAAAATTAAGTTGTCACCCGACCCCCCTCCCCCAAATACCCTTTTTCTTAATTGTGTTGTGTTGATTCCACTCATTTTAAATAAGTAGCTTAAATAAAGCAAGCAGTGTGTGTGTGTGCATTAAGATGCATTATACTTAGGGCCAGACAGAATCTGTGGACATTTTTAGCTATTTCTGCAGAGAATTTTTGTTAAAAAAAAAATCTGGATTTATGTGGAATGATTTTAGGAGGATCATAACTAAAAAACTTAATTACAAAAAAACAAACATGACATTTTTTACCTTTATTTCATGTTTACAATGCAAATCTAATTAGATACACTCATTTTGGTAAATAAGGCAAGTCTCTCATATAATAAATCTACT